GCTGTTCCTTTTGGTCACATCTTATGGCTTATTATCAATTGGAAACCAACGATGCCATCGATGGCGCCAAACATAAAGCCATTGATTCATCGCAATTAACTCCTGGTAATTCATATATCAATATTTTTATATCTAACACACTAGTCTCCATAATATGCATTATTATAATGCATTTTAATTTAGTACTATAATTATTAAATAATTGTATTAGTATTATAAATTACATAACTTATATTAAATTATATTATAATGTATAATGAATATTTTCTGTTTTACCATATACTGTATACTATCTGTCATATGACTGAATGAATGTCTGTATGAAAATTATTTCCTTTATTATCTATTATCTATGATCTCTTCACTATCTATTGGTTAAGGCTTGGCGTGGATTTTATTCAAGAAAAGAATTGATTGTATGTCTGTATTAACTATTGTTTCTCTTCACATCTCTTGATTGCTATTCAAATATAATAATTCACATTTCTCATTAAAAGTGTTTTATGTCTTATGATTAAAGCATTGTCTCAGATGTCAATGGATTCGTCGCCACAATCGACTCCTTCCTCTCCTTCCAAGTCGTCACAAGTGAATTACAGTATCAATAGTAAGAGTCCATTCAAATCGTTGCCCACAACTATTTTATACGATATCAGGTATGAAAGTATGACACGAGTTATTGCTTGATGTTATCGTCAATTGTGATTCTCATTTGCAGATCTGTGCGATTGATGGCAGACATTAAGACAGATGTTGGCAAATGTCGAGCTTTTATTCGTTTGGCTCTCGAACGCAAATTATTGTCCAAACACTTGAGAACATTACTATCCAATCATGATTTGCTTTTGTATTGAGCTTTTGTATATTGCTAATATATTATTTAGTTAAATGTTATTCTTTTTATTTGAATAGAACTTTATATAAAAGATATGCATTTCTTCGATGTGAGGAAGAGAGGGAACAATTTTTAACACACTTATTGACTTTAAATGCAGTCGACTTAATGTGTTTTACAAATACTTTTATCACAAGTGTTTTGCGTTAGTATTGTTTCATGTATTTACCCGACGGTAATTATATTTCATTTCTCATACACGTCTATATAGCATATACTCTCATAATCTATGGCTCGAGTCAAATGAACGGCTGGTTTTCAATTTGTGGTTCAATTGATAGCACTTCTGACAACTATCTCATTAATTCAACAAATTGTTACACTTTTAAGGTAAGCNTTGTTTTATATATTTACCCGACGGTAATTATATTTCATTTCTCATACACGTCTATATAGCATATACTCTCATAATCTATGGCTCGAGTCAAATGAACGGCTGGTTTTCAATTTGTGGTTCAATTGATAGCACTTCTGACAACTATCTCATTAATTCAACAAATTGTTACACTTTTAAGGTAAGCCTTTATATAAAAATGTTTACTGCTTCAACGATTTATAAATTTACCCTCATAAATGATAATTTTATAATATCATTATTAAGTTGTTATTTTGTTTTATTTTTTCTTTATAAGCACCGAAATCTTGGATTTTTAAATACTCTAACCATTGGTTGCACTCAAACCACAAAAATATATATTGAATATTGTTTTGTGAGAAATGAAGTGACAAATCATATCTATAAGTAAGTGAATGTATATTTTGTTATGAAAATAGCATAAATGGTGATGAAGTGATGTCTTATAACGTGGTACTGATAATGACTAGATTTGATTGCAATCGTTGGTTTGGACGCAACATAGAAGAGGGATCAACAGAACGAGTACTCATCGGTGAGCTGTTGAGCGGTTCGTCGGC